CAGACAATAGCCCAAGGCCCCAGTTCTGTCCCAGAGAGGTTGCTAACCACCCTCTGGGATGTGGGGAGAGACATCCACTGCTCTCCTGACCCCAACCTTCCACTTTCCCCCGACTCTACGTTCAGTGGCTCTCGAAGTCTAACTCAACTCTTGGTCATGCTGCCAGTGATGATAAGAATGAAAATAGGTAGCATGTGCTGAGCGTTTAGTATGTGCCAGGCACTACACTAACTGCTTTTCACTTGTTTTCTCACTTAACCTTGACAATAATTTGAGACAATGCTTGAGACAAGCATTAAGTCCACTTAATGCTTGAGACAAGCATTAAGTCCACTTTCCAGATATGGGCAAGGTGAACTCAGATCTGTTTGATAGCAGCCTTCAGGCTCTTTCTGCTGTACTAGTTTTCGCTTTTTAACATCCTTCCTGGGGACCTCCAGCATCCTTCTCAGCATTCACACACACATACTCTCTTCACCAGCCTCCTCAATGTTCACCAATTGCTCAGGCTTCTCCCTGCCTGAAAAGCACTTTCTTCTTCCTGACTCATCCTTGTAGGAGGCCTATCCCCCTCTCCTTGGCAGTCTTTAACCTGGTACTTGGGTCCCCAGAACCGACCCTGAAGGTCACCCCCACTTCTCAGCTTGTGTGATTGGTAGTACTGGGGCTTTTTCTTCTGCTTCTCCCAGTGGCAGGGGCTCTTCCTGGGCTGCTTTCTTCCCACTGCGCCCTCTCACTGGGTGGAGCTCATCATGGGCACTTTGCCACACCGGGGCCACACCCAAGACTGTACTTTCAGTGTCTCCAGCCCAGAAATCTCTGTGGACTCTAGACCAATCTCCAGCAGCCTTCTGGACTCTGAGCAGGTGCACTGCTGTCTCCCTCCTGCCTGGTCCCCTTCCCCCTCACTTCACATTCAGCAGCCACCAGGTCTACTTCATTCCTCTGCCAAGTTCTGTCCATATGACCTTCCCTCTTGGCCTCAAGTCTCACAGTTTCTCACTGACACCAACCCAGTAGCCTCCTGACCTAGCTCCCTGCCTCCCCGCAACCCACCTTTGACCCATTACCTACCCCAAGGCCAGACCATTGATCAGCTTATAGATCCGACCTCACTACTACCCTGCCTGCAACTCTTCCTGAGCCCTGTAGTCTGTAAGTGAGTCTTTAACTTTGCTGTTCAAGGGCTCATCAGTGAAACGTTTTTGGGAGTGTATTCCCCAGAATATATTCACTTACCTAATAGTTTTATACGTGTCGTAGCCAGCATAATGACCCCTGACTACTCTCACCCCCTGTTATTCATACCCTCGTGTAGTTCCCTTCCATGCTGAGTAGCCCGACCGTGTAACCACTAGGCTATTGTGGAGATGGAGCATTACTTCTGAGGGTAGGTTGTAAAAGAAATTGCAGCTTCCATCTTGTGCTCTCAAATCACTTGCTCTGGGGGAAGCCAGCTGTCATGATGTGAGAACACTCAAGCAGCCCTGTAGAGAGGCCCATGGGATGAGAAGCTGAGGTTTCTTGCCGATAATGGCCAGCACTAACTTGCCAGCCATGTGAGTATTGCCTTGGAAGCTGATCCTCCAGCATCGGTCAAGTCTTCAAATGAAGTAGCACTGACTGATAGCCTGACTACAAGCTGATAGACTCTGAGCCAGAACCAACTGATTAAGCTGTACTCAGATTCCTGACCCTTAGAAACTGAGTGAGATGATAAATAGTCGTTTTAAGATGCTAAGTTTTGGAGTGATCGTTTTCCAGCAATAGATCACTAATACACATGGACCACTGTACACATCTATTATGTACCTTATAAAATATATTCCCAAGAAAAGGGATAAAAATAATGTATATAAATGAAGATCTAATGTTTTCTTGCCACATTAATGGATGATCTTGTGACCCCCTGGGGTGCATGTCCCCCACTTTGGAGACCTCTGCGCTTTTGAATGCCATTCAAAACACCTCACCTGGAGATTCAAGGCCCGTCTCAGGGTGGCCCAAGCTACCTCTCTGGCCGTTGCTCTTCTGCTACTGTTTCCTCTCCCTAAGGTCATTCGCTTATTCCCACTGATAAAATCCTACCTGTTCTCCCAGGCCAACATTACAGACCTCTTCTAGGAAGCCTTTCTCAATTGCCCTAGAGGTGGGGTTACCAGGTTTGGAGCCCAGCCTCTTGGTGTGCATTGCTCTCCACACTCAGAGTGCACTCAGAGGGGATGAGTTTGCTGTGTATGAAATGTGGCAGGCAGAGTTCTCAAAGTGGCCCCCAAGATTCCAGTGTCATCTCTGGAACAGGTGAATATGATGAGATATCACTCTCACAATTATATTATATATAGTTAATCATATATGATTATATATACAGCAGGTCCTTGAATAATGTTTCATTCAATGTCATTTCGTTATAATGTTGATGAGATGCTACAAGAACTTAACTCTTGTTTATATCAATTAGCTTACGGTAAAATTGGTTTCTTTATACATTGTTTAAAGTTGCAGAACCTATCGACAACAGACAGAGACACATAGAAACACAGTTGACTTTAAGACAGAAAGATTATCCTGGTGGGTCTAATTTAATCACAGGAGCCCCTTTAAAGGTACAGAGGAAGTCAAATTTGAAGCATGAGAAACATTCCAGTCACTGTTGCTGACTTTGCAGATGGAGGTGCCATGTGATGAAGAGTGCAGACACCTCTAGGGGCTCTGGGTGGCCCCTGGTTAACATTCAGCAAGGCCATAAAGACCTTAATCCCACAGCTGCAAGGACCTGGATTTTGTTAACAACCTGAATGGGCTTGGAAGCAGATTCTTCCCTTTTGCCTCCAGAAATGAATCCAGCTCTGTCAGCACCTTGACCTCAGTTTTGCCGCTTTGCGAGGCCATGAGCAGAAAATCTAGTTGGATTTCTGCCCTATAGAACTGTGAGGTAATAAATAAGTATTGTCTGAGCCACTGAGTTTGTGGTACCTTGTAACTCAGCCATAGAAAATGCATATGTTAGGCTTTGTCCCTGAAGACCTTGCATAATTCAAGGTCTATATTCTTAAAGAGATAAATGTAAAGGGTGGACAAATTCTCAGAGTGCATAGATCTAACACCATTGTGGTACCGTTTTATTTTTAGCTACTTTTTAGTTTCTGAGGATTATCTCTAGTATTTTAAAGAGGGCTTCCCCATAAATTAGTGACCTGATGTTCCATGTTGTTTATCTGGCTTTCTTTACAGAATTTTATCACCTCTGACTCCCATTCTAAAGTTATTGGCTTTGGGGGCTGTTTTACAGCACTGATCCAAGCACTGTTCCCTGATCGATGGGTTTGGGGAACGTGGTTATACACACTGCTTTCTGTGTATGTGTACAGCTTTCTGCAGTTTTACAAAGTGAACACACCTGTACAACCAGTGTCCAGATCAAGAAGTTGAACATTTCCATCACCCCAGAAGCTCCCCTGTGCTCTTGCAGGGATAACCACTGTTCTGACCGAAACAGTGTAGGTTTGTTTCCCTGAATAAATCAGATTGTAAGGGATAATACCAGAGAATGCTAAAATAACAGCCCAATAGTCACCAAAATTACTGGCCACAGTCCCAGTGCGTGCAAACAACATGGGCTTTTCAAGACACAGACAAGTGACGGTACAGCCAGGGCTCTCACACTTCATGCAAGAGACATGTGTTCCCGAATGTCTCGCATAACGTAAAACTCTCATAAGTCAAGTTTTCTCACAAAATAACTAACATAGAATTTGCATGACTTCACATTTTGGGCCTAAAGTGAGACTTAGGCACATCTTTAATATTGCCCAATTTTTAATTTAGTATACTTTCAATTCACACACTCCTCACTCCTGTCTGAACACAACCCTCTCCGAACCCCCCATGGAGTTGTGAGGTACCACATTTTAGCATCTCTGTGCTCCCAGGGCCCAGCCATGATGACAGCATAAGGTCCTGGACTCAGGCTGCTCCAATTCTAGTCCTCCCTCTGCTGTTTCCTTGCTGCGTGACCGTGGGTAAACTCTTACCTTCTGGGCCTCAGTTTCCTCATCTGCAGATGTGCTCTGGGGATAATAACAGGAACTGATGAATGAAAAGACTCAGGCACACAGCACAAGTCAATGGAGAAGGTTCGTTGGCACTAATCCCACCCGAAGTGGGGAAAGCCTGCTCTAATGCCTCTCCCCTCATTTCCCAATCCCCCATCCTTCCCCTCTTGCTGCTGGGAACTTTACTCTCCAGGAGAGCAAAGCTAGTCAGCCTGAGTTGGGGAGTCTGGTGGCTGAGCCCCAAGAAAGCTGGAGCTTAGGGTAAGATGTCAGGGTCACAGGCCTGGGTTGGGCAAGAGTGAAGAACGGTTCCCTCTGATCTTGGTCAGGGGTATTTGGAGACACCAACAATTCTGGGAATTCAGAGACAGTAAGTGATGGGGGGAAGGGACAGAGAGTAAACAGCTAACTTCACCCCAGCCCTTGTGGCCTGGCTCCCCTCTCATACCATGCAATGAGTGAGGTGACCAGCATGTGGGGGTATAGGGGGCAGACCAGGAGAATCCCCCTCTTTGGGGAAGAAAGCAGAAGCAACCCATCCCCCGCTCCCACCCCCACACATCCCTGTGTTCCAAATTCATTTCCACTTCTGTTTACGTCCAAAGTCCCTGGCACTTTAGATGCCAGGTTTGGTGCTCTAGGACACACAGACACACAGACGCGCAGATGCACAGGGCTCAGGGCCCTCATGTGGACCCTGTCCCTTGCTCTTCTACTGTCTAAGGCTGTCTGCGCACCCCAATTCTCCAGGCTTCAACCCCCTTCTTAGCCTGGAAACTGCAGAGCATTGCGGGACTCAGGAATCACCCTCAGAGACCTTCAGCAAGTAAAAGGGGAAGAAAGAGACGGGGACTGACCAGGGTGGGATGGGGGAGGGGTAGTGGGGACCTGCTGTCAGGAGGGCAGGGGCTGGGTGGGAAAACTTCAGAGGATAGATTTTGGGTGTCAGGCCTGGGAGGAAATGGGGAAAAGAAGAAAAGTCTCCATGTAGCCACCGATTACTTAGAAAGGGACTAGACCCCACATTGCAACTCTGTTCAGTTCCAATCTCAACCCTGACCCCAGAGACCTAGTCCCAGGTCCAGCCAGCCCTACCATGACAAAGGAGTATCAAGATCTCCAGCATCTGGACAACGAGGAGAATGGCCATCAGTTCAGACAAGGTGAGAGGACACCTCCCCCCATTTCTGAAAGGCGAGCATTAGGTGGCTCAGGCTCCCTTCCCTTGGCTCCTACTTTTTTCTATGACCCCTGACTCTATCTCTGGGTCTTCCTCCTTCACAAGAACACAGTGTCTGAACCACCCCTCTTAGGAGAGGTGCAGGGTGTGGGGGCTTCTGCATGCCTCCTGACCCTTGCCATGTTACCAACTTCTCGGGACCCTGGGGGAGGGGGTGAGCCCAGGGGGGTGTGGGTGTAACTGGAAGAAGTTAGGTCTCTTCCTCCTTTCCTCTTCCAACATCAGATAAACCTTGGCTGTGTGTGTGTGTGTGTGTGTGTGTGTGTGTGTGTGTGTGAGAGAGAGAGAGAGAGAGAGAGAGAGAGAG